CGAAAGCATATTAGTTGCAGGCAAATACTTTACAGTTCTGAGTTTTTTTCTTTCTCTTATGCTCTATGTTCAGTGAGGCTACAACAATTGGTTTGATAAAGGTCCGGGACACTTACCCATTTGGTCTAGATCCAGTGTGGCATGGTACCCGCAGCGAGGTGCCGTTTCTGAACTCACTGAAGATGAAAATATCAATCCTTCTTGGAGTTTCTCAAATGAACCTCGGAATCATAATGAGCTACTTCAATGCAATATTCTTCAAATCGGGTGTAAATCAGTTGGTATTTTCTGACCATATCACGCTCTCTTTCCAATTCTTTGAACAGTAATATTTAATTTTGGGGGCTTGCGGGTTCCAGTTCGTTCCCCAGATGATATTCTTGTTTCTATTCCGTGTATGTTACTTCCAAAGCCACTCATCTTGAAGAAACAACATGAAGCTGTGAGATTCTTTCCTTTTTTCCCTTTCTAGTTTATGTATAAAAGGTTTCTTTGCTGGTCGTCCTAAACGGTTTCCTTCTCCATAGGCATCAAGGCCAGTCATACGCACCTCTTGACGAGACAGACGAGAGTCTTCATGTGGAGACAAACGGAGGATCCCACGGACACGAGGAGTTTGAATTCAGCACCATAGAGTTTGTGCTTGGAGCTGTTTCCAACACCGCTTCTTACCTTCGTCTATGGGCTCTCAGGTAATCTCATCATCATCGAGTAATAGTAGAAGCTATACACTGAAGCTATATATACTCATCATGGCTTAACTATATCCGTCCTTTTTTAGGTTTCAGTCTTGCTCACTCAGAGCTATCATCAGTCTTCTATGAGAAGGTCCTCCTCCTCGCATGGGGTTACAACAATATACTGATCCTCATCGTTGGGATCATCGTATTCGTGTTCCCAACCGTGGGAATGTTGCTGGTGATGGAGACGCTAAGCGCGTTCCTTCACGCGCTGCGTCTCCTCTAGGTAGAGTTTCAGAACAAATTCTACCGTTTTGAGTTCATAGATTTTTTTTATAAAGAGATTCTTCCTCTCTTGCTTCTCAATCTCAAAACACTAACCATGTTTTGTAGACTATTATAGTCAAAGATTGAGGAGTTTCATTCAAAAATATTAGTTACTTCTGGTTATATGTGTTATGATCTTCACATAATCTCTGTTTCAACTTCTTCTTTTTTTCATTCTCTGCCTTGATCTTCAGTTTTCATTACATAGTATAACAAAAGTATTATCTTTCTGGTCAAACAAAATTGAGAGAAATTGTCGGAAACAAGTAATAAAGAAAACGTTTTAATTTCATCGAAAAGGAAAACGACCAAAGTAAGGGAAGAAGTTAAAAACTCCCACGGGTAAGGCGAGTGAGCGTCATTTTTTTTAAATCTTAAGGTGGGCCCACGCTAACTACCAGCTGGTCCACAATGCAGTCCGTTTGCATGGTTCCGGCTGTACATGCATGCCGTTTTAATTAACAGCCCAATCTAGATTAAACTTATATTAGGCCCATCTAAATCAGATCATAGTTAATGTACATTCATTTCAGCGGCCCAATTTCGATTAAACTCATATTAAACCCATATAATTAAACATTGTACGTCTTGCGCTCAAGAGAAAGCATTTTTCATTATTTACAAACTTCATCTTTCTTTAAAAAAAAAGCAGAGAGAAATAGATAAGAGTCAGACGCTAAGAGGAGCTCAGCTCGCTCACACAAATCACCAAAGTAATTTAAATTATTAACCAAAGGCTTTTAATCAATGAGCAGTGGTCGAGACGGTGGCTGCAACCGTGGAGACAAGACTGTCAACCCCACAAATGTTACGTCCTTTGCAGATTTTGTAGAAACCATTCTCTCCCCAAGACTCTCCCCATGAGTTCTTAATGATCCAGTAAGGCTTCTCCTTGAACCTAGCTGGTGCGTAACCCGCCGCGCCATAACCAACCAATAAAACACCGTGGTTAAGCCTCCTCGCGCAGATGTAAGGACACGAGACTCCTCCAATGTAAGTCTGCATATAAGCCGCGTTGATAGCTACTGCAAGAGGTCCGTTCTTGACAAGGTTTGCAGCAATCTGTTCTTCATCAATGGAGATAACACTGAAGTTGGAGACAGATGCAACGATCTTCGACTTGTCTAATTTACAGACTGGACCGTCTTTTCCAGTGTAAGGATAGTCTTCTTCTCTCATGAGCCCTCCGGTTTTAAGTGTGTACTCAAACGCACTGTTCATTAACCCACCGTTGCAACCAGAGTCACATGAACCTGCCTCTTCTGGATCACACTGCACATACACAACATAGCAAACAATTAATCAGACTATAGCTTCACAGAGACTAAGTAGTGAGATTCATCATCTAAACAAACCTAGACAAATCGATGAACATCTATTGATAATTGATCAAACATGTAACAATTGATAATCTTAAATCATTTGCAATCAGAAATCATCATCCCAAACAAACTTCAGAAGCTAAAATGGTGGAACAAAAGAGAAACAAAAGTCAAACCTCATGATCACAATCGACGAGCTGTTGTTCGCTAAGGCTAACGAGTTTTCCAGTAGCGAGGAAGTTAGCACCTTCAAGAGCTCCAGTAGCACTGAAACTCCAGCAAGAGCCACAAGATCCCTAGAGAGAACACAAACCAAA